GAGAGAGCCAGAGAGAAAGGTCTCACTTTGCTGTTGGTTCACCCTCCAGTGGCCGCTGCGGACAGTGTGCTGCGGCTGGCGCACCGTGCTTATCCGATGGCAGGAACCAGGTGCTTCTCCTGGTCTCCCATGGGGTGCAGGGCCCAAGTACTTGGGCCATCCTCCGCTGCACTCCCTGGCCACAGCAGAGAGCTGGCCTGGAAGAGGGGCAACCGGGACAGAATCCGGCGCCCCGACTGGGACTAGAACCCGGTGTGCCGGCACCGCAAGGCGGAGGATTAGCCTAGTGAGCCGCGGTACAGCCAGCTTTGCTCTTTTGGACAGGGCCACCCTGATATTACAAGGTGGGGTCTCACGATGAGTTCATGTGCGTTTCCATGGAGGCCAGTTTGACGGCAAGGCTGCCATGGGTGCCCACTCAGGCCCACCCCTCCAGCCCAGGCACAGCTGGAATCTTTTTTTTTTTTTTTAAGATTTATTTATTTATTTGCCAGTCAGAGGTACAAAGAGAGAGATGGAGAGGCAGAGAGAGAGAGAGAGAGAGAGAGAGAGAGAGAGAGATCTTCCAATCAATGGTTCAATCCCAAGTTGGCCTCAATGGCAGGAGCTGTGTCAATCCAAGCCAGGAGCCAGGAGCTTCTTCCGGGTCTCCCACGCGGGTGCAGGGTCCCAAGGCCGTGGGCTGTATTCCACTGCTTTCCCAGGCAATAGCAGAGAGCTGGATTGGAAGTGGAGCAGCCGGGTCTTGAACTGGTGCCCATATAGGATTCCTGTGCATCAGTCCAGGGCGTTAACCTGCTGTGCCAAAGTGCTGGCCCCAGAACTGGAATCTCACTGGCAGGCGGCTCCCGGGGAAGGAACAGCTGTGGGAGCTGCTGCACTTCGTGTCCTGTGGGGGCCACGGCTCCGCGGCAGAGGCTGCCCTGAGCAGGAAGCAGCCCGGGTCCTCGTGGTTGCCGTGGCAGCACTGGTGAGGCCTGGGTCTGGAGCATCAGGGCCCCCAGGTGTGCAGCCGCAGGGTCTGGAGGCCTTGGGGAGCAGGCAGACAGCAGGAGGAGTGCGGATGGTGTGGCCAGCGTTTACGACCAGGAATCAGTGCTCAGGGGTGGCCCCGAGCTCGGGACCAGGACTGAATAAGCTGGCCTCAGCTCGCTGACCAGTCACAGCGGCAGTGACCTGGAGCTTGGGTTACTGACCAGGGCCACTGCCTGTGTTCAGGACCCAACTCAGGACCTGAAGCAGGGCTCAGCAGTAGCCCCAGGGAGCAGTGGGCAAACGCAGGGTCCAGAACTCAGGGGTGGGGAGCTGTAACCAGTGACAGGATCAGGACAGGTGCAGAATCCAGGACCAGGACTGAGTGACCAGAACCAGGTCCATGGCCACATCCAGGGAATTGACCTCCTGAGCCCTCCCCGGGGGAGCACTGGTCTTGGACTTGAGACTCCTGAGGGCCAGGCTGTGTCTGGGGCACCGCGTCCAGTCCATGCTGAAGTCCCTGTGGTGGAGTGGCAGGCGTCTCCCAGGCTGCAGCCACCGTGGCTTCCCTGAGCCATCGTCCAGCAGAGCGAGAACATTCGTCTGGGAAGGGTTGAGTGCACCTGGCAGGGGAATGGGGGGGTCCGCTGCTTCATGGAGGGCTGGGCTCTGGCATGCAGAGCTGGCTTTCCCAGGGGCTCCTGCACGCTTCCCTCCTGCAGAGACAGGGGCAACTGAGGGTGGGCGGTGTCCTCACCCCTCTCCTCTGTCCCAGCCCGGGCCTGGCTCCCAGGAGAATTGGTGGAATCCTCAGCTCCATTACCCGGGACGCTCCCACCCTGACCCAGGGCACCCATGTCCCAATTCCTGCAGGGACCCTTGTGCCCCTCTATGGCAGCAGCAGTCACCTGTCCTTGGGCCCGGTTCCCCCCTCCCCAGGGCATCCCCACACCTGTGCCTCAGTACTGGGGTCCCTCTTTGCTGCCAGGTGGGCCCCGGATGCTGGTCACGGTCAGAGCTGTGCTGTAGAACAGGCTCAGCAGGAAGAGAGTGAGGAGGGTGACGGTGGTGGGCCACAGGTTGGCGCCGGGGGCCTCCTCCTCCAGGCTGTCCTGTGGCAGATCCAGCACCACACAGGGCAGGGGCTCCTGACAACCTGCAAGACACAGAAGGCCTGCCAGGACGTGAACGTGTGGGTGGTGCCTGGGCCCAAGGCCCTCTCTCCCACGCCTCCTCAGGGGCTGGGGGTGGAGTGGTGGGGTCTCTATGGGGTCTGAGGGCGAGAGCAGGGCCCATAGGGGGTTGGCCCCTGCAAGTGTCTTAGTGCAGTTGCAGGACAGGAGGCGGGGCAGTGTCCTTGCTGGTCCAGGGAAGGTGTGGCCGGAGCCCTGCTGGCCTGAGCTGAGCCACGTACTCAGTGGCTCCTGCCTAAGCCCTGCTCTTGGGCTGGCCTTGGCCGGGACCTGGGTCCAGAGAGGACCAGGCACACCTCAAGGTCTGAGTGTGGGGTCATTGTGCCCAGGGCATGAGCAGGGACCATGGTGTGAGCAGAGCCTCTGTTCTTCCCCAGGGAAGTGGCTGAGGGACGGCCAGCGAAGGCCAGCAGCACAGCGGCCAGCAGAGTGGACCAGACGTCCTAGGTCCTGGGTCACGGATCTCTGTGTTAAATTCGGTTTACAAGTTTGTCATTACTGGTACATCAATCATCTATTTCAATATGTTACATTTCTATCCATCTATCATTTCACACATCTATCAGTCTGTCATCCTCCACCCATCCAAGTACTCATCCCTCCCTCAGTTATCCTATCCAGTTTTTGATTCACCCACACATCTATCTACTCTCCAACTTACAACCATCCATCCATCCATCCATCCATCCACCCACCCACAAACCTACCTTTGCATCCAATTAAATATCCATGAATCTATTCATCTACCTATCCATCCATCAATCTGTAACCAGCCACCATCCATCCTTTCAACCATCCATCTACCTGTCCATCCATCCATCCATCCATCCATCCATCCATCCATCTGTCTGTCCGTCCATCCACGTTCCACTGTGTCATGTGGTCACTGGCTTTTCTGTCTGCTCTCCATGTTAATTCTCCCCCTTTCCCTCTTTCTTAGGAATCTGCTTCTTTGGCTCAGTTCCTGGGCCCATGGAGTGGCTGGGGTACTTGTGTGGGTACTGTTTTCCGGCCGGTCTGTTCCTCCCCCTGAGTTCTTTGAACCGGGACCCTCTGTGGAGAGAAGTGGCTGTGTGTGGGGCTCCTCTTCACCTGGGCCCTGACAAGGGTGATGGCGAGAGCCTGAGCCCTGGGAGGCCCCAAGGTCATCTGAGATAAGAGCTGGGGCCCTGTGCCTTTTGGATTCCTGGTGCCCGGGGTTCCTACATTGGTCTGGTAGCTCCTGGGGTGCGAATCAGAAGCCCAAGGCCTGAGGAGGGGCCCGTGTGGGTGGTCTCTGCCCTGCCCCTCTCTGCCTGTTGTTTGGCTCAGACTCGGGCTCAGGAGGGGATAGAGGGTTGAGTGAGCAGTGAGCAGTGTCTGCCTAGGGTGGGCTGTGCAAGTGATCCTTGAGCTGTGCATGGCTGGACATTCAGGGAGGCCCAGAGAGGGCCAGCAGGGCCTGGGCAGCAGGGCTGGGCTGAGGAAACTGTCACGGCCTTGAGCAGGGACTCCCCTTGCTTTCCTGGAGCTGGGACTGGGCTGTGAGCTCTCCTGCAGCTGAGGGGGACGTGTGTGAGCGTGTGTGGCCTGTGAGCACGTGTGTGTGTGCAGGCCCCAGAGAGCGTGGTGCGGGGTGGGGCCTGCTGTGTGCCCTGTGTGTGTCAGCGCTGTCCTGCACTGCTGGGTGGTATCTGATGGGGCTGACCTCTGCCACGCTGGGGGACTGCTGGTCGCCCCTCTTCCTGTGGTCCTGCACCCAGCCCTGTTCCTCCCCCTCCCTCCCTCGTCCTCTGCACCAGGGCAATGGCTGCATCCCTGCTGCCAGGAACTCCTGCTGGTGTCCACGGCTCTGGGTGCGACCTGAGCTGTGCCTGCACTGCCTCAGAATCCACCCCGGCTCAGCCTCCCCTCTCACTGCTCCCTCCCAGACACACCCACTCCCAGACACACTCACTCCCAGACACGCTCACTCCCAGGCACGCTCTCTCCCAGGCACACTCACTCCCACAGACACCTGTGCTCACACTCACGCTCACATGCACACTCATGGGAACCATGCATGATGTCCCCTCCAGGTGCCTGAGCCCCAGCTCCTAGGACCAGGGGTGCTCCCCCTCCCCGCCCTGTGGCTGCAGCCCCCGTGGAGACAGACAGGCACAATGAACCCGCAGGGCTGCTGGGGGCGAGCACGGAGTTTATTCAGGGCAGGCTAGGGGCTCAGTAGCACACGGCTTCCACGTCTGCCACGACCACAGACACGTTGACTTGGGTGGGTTTACCCGCCAGGCGGTCGATGGTCTTCTGGGTGAAGTGCTCGGCCAGGCCCTCATGGCCCACCACGCAGGTGTAGCTTTCATTCTGGTTCCAGTCCTCGGCCGGCACGCGCAGCAGGCTGGTGACAGCGTAGGTGGTGGGTTCCTGGCCGGGCTCAGGCAGGGGCTTCCATACCAGGTAGCTTTCTTTGAGGACTACCGTGCCTTTGTTTGTCCAGGACACCAGCACGTCCTTGGGGCTGAAGCCCTGCACCAGGCAGGTCAGCGTCACCAGCGCGTTGTTGGCCAGCTCCTCCGATGGCGGTGGCAGCAGGTGGACCTGGGGCGGCGTGAGGCTGCCTGGAAGGGGAGAGAGGGGTCAGGGTGGCAGGGGAGGACCGAGCCCCACTGTCCCGCGTGCCGGCCTCAGTTTCCCTCTGTTTTCCGGGGAACGGAGCCTCGGAGCCCAGGAGGGGAGGGAGAAGTTATACCCGGGGGTGAGGAGAGCAACCCATTGCCCTGGGTGGAGTCAGGCCCACCTCTGCTGATTTTGGCTGTCAGGGAGCCGCCCTCTATCTCAGGGTGGGTGACAGTGCAGGTGAACTCTGTCCCCGCATTCCAGGGCTCCGCACAGCCGGGCAGCACGCTGGACACACTGTAGCAGCCGCACGGGTAACTCTGGACGCTCTGCTGGACGGGTTCGTTCCCGTTTGTGGGCTCCCAGGTGAAGACGGCGCCCTCGGGGTCCTTTAGGCCGCTCAGGGTGCAGGTGAGGCTGGCCTTCGATTCCAGGAGCAGGTCCCCGATGTCTGGCCGCTGCAGGGACAGGCTGGGCTCCCCGCAGGTAATGGGGGGGATGGAGCAGTCTGAACGTGCAGAAACAGAGAGGGCCACATCTGTCAGTGTGCAGCGCGCACATCCTGGCCCAGGCTGCCATCCGCCCCTGTATGGTCCAGCCCAGCAGCCCACACGCAGCCTCAGGGGCCCCAGCCGCCCTCCTACCTGGGCAGGGCAGGATCAGATCTCTGTGCACTTCATTGTGCTCCACGTGGCAGATCACACACTTAGGACACTCTTCAATTGTCAGGCTCAGCAGGCTGCTCGTGGTGTAGAGGCTCGAGGGGGGAGACGGGACAGGAGGGAAGATCACGTCCCCCTCGCTGACGTTCCAGCTCACATTCAGAGGGCCCAGGGGGAAGAAGCCCCGGATCAGGCAGCCGACGACCACGGTCTCTCCCGACACAGGTCCAGGGAGGATCAGCGGGAAGAGGCTGGGGGTGGTTGCGGACGCTGCAACACAGGACACACTGTGAGACCGTCGAAGTCACATGACTGAAACCCCAGAGAGCCCTGGGAGCACCGATCCCCTCATGCCTTGTCATAGACAGAACCTGGCCCAGAGAGGGGAGGAGACCAGCCCAGGGTCACACAGCTGCTGGGCAGGACTGGGGCCGGAAGTGTCCATCTGGCTCTGCTGCCCTGTGTCTCCAGGCTCCTCGGGGCTGAGCTGCTCAAGCCTGGCTGGCACGGAGCCTTCGAGGGCCGCAGGCTCCCCGGCCTCAGGGCCCCTGGGCAGTGTGCACAGGGTGGGGTGCTGAAGGGAGGAGGGGACAGGCTGGCTGGAGCAGTGAAGCAGGCTGGGCCTGGTGAAGGCCGAGGGGAGGCAGGGGTGGGGCCCAGCTCTGTGCCCAGCTTGCACTGCCCTTGCCAGGGTCCCAGACCCTCGCCCCAGCCCCACGTCTCACACTCACACCCCTCCCCCATGATCAGCCGTCGCCAGCCCTCATGGCCACCAGGGCTCCAATGCCAAGGAGCGCTTGTTCCTGGAGCTCTGACCACACGGCCGCCTCCTGCCCAGGACGTCTCTGAGTCCTGCAGGACAGGGGTGACCGACAGCACCCAGAGGCTCAGGCTCCGCCCTAGGAGCACAGGCGCCCCCTACTGCACTAGGGCTCAGGTCTTCAATGGTTTTCATGCCTGGAACCCCACACCTGGGAACCAGCTTAGCCCCAGACACAGACTTTGCACTTCCCCCAGAGGCCTCAGAGACTGCAAGCTCAGCCCACTCAGCCCTCGCTGTCCTGCTCAGCCCTCCTCAGCCCAGCTCAGCTCAACTTAGCCCAGCTTCGTCCACCCACGCTCAGCTCAGGAGACCGGATTCGTTCAACACTGCCCAGCTCAGCCCAGCTCTGCCCAGCTCAGCCCAGCCAGGCTCATTCCGCCCTGCCCAGCCCAGCCAAGCCCAGGTGTGATCAGCCCAGCCCAGTTCAGTCCTGCTCAGTTCAACTCAGCCCAGCTTAGCCTAGCTCCACCTAGCTCAGTCTATCCAAGTTCCATCCAGCACAGGTCACCTCTGCCAGCTCAGCCCACCCAGCCCAGCTCAGCCCAGTCAGGTCACCTCAGCCAGCTCAGCCCAGCCCAGCCCAGCTCAGCCCAGGTCAGGTCACCTCAGCCCAGCTCAACCCAGCCCAGATGAGCTCAGCCCGGCTCAGCCCACTTCAACATAGCCCACATCAGTTCAGCTCAGCTCAGCCCAGCTCAGCTCAGCCCTGTACTGTCCAGCCCAGCTGAGGTCAGCTCTCAGCCCAAACCAGGTCACCTCAGCCCAGCTCAACCCAGCCCAGCCCAGTTCAGCCCAGCCCTGCTCTGCCCTGCTCAGCCCACCCAGCCCAGCC